CAACCACAGCCTCCCAGAGACTGTTCAGAGAGGTGTACTGTTTACCTTCACTGTAAATTTCCTGCTTAAGAAGGGCCTAAAGGTTCTCAATAGGGTTTAGGTCAGGTGAAGAAGGGGGCCATGTCATTAGTTTTTCATCTTTAAGGCCTTTACTGGCCAGCCACGCAGTGGAGTACTTTGATGCATGTGATGGAGCGGTGTCTTGCATAAAAATCAAAGTCTTCTTGAAAGATGCAGACTTTTTCCTGTACCACTGCTTGAAGAAAGTGTCTTCTAAAAATTGGCAGTAGGTCTGAGAGTTGATTTTGAGTCCATTTTCAACCTGAAAAGGTCCAACTAGCTCATCTTTAATAATACCAGCCCATACCAGTACCCCACCTCCACCTTGCTGGCGTCTGAGTCGAAGTGGAGCTCTGTGTCCGTTACTGATCCAACCACGGGCCCATCCATCTGGTCCGTCAAGAGTCACTCTCATCTCATCAGTCCACAAAACCTTTGAAAAATCTGTCTTCAGATATTTCTTGGCCCATTCTTGACGTTTCAACCGATGTGTCTTGTTCGGAGGTGGTCGGGTTTCAGCCATTCTTACCTTGGCCATGTCTCTGAGAACTGAACACCTTGTACTTCTTGACACTCCAGGTAGGTTGCAGTTGTGGAATATGGCAGCACTGGAGGATAACAGATTCCTGGTAGCTTCATATTTGATTCTTCTCAAATCTCTGGTGGTTAATTTGCATCTTTTCTTCTCAACACATCTGTCTTTTCTTCTCAACACGTTTCTGGCGACCCTGGTGACTATTTGCTATAAAATGTTTGATGGTTCTGTGATCACGCCCCAATATCTTAGATATTTCAAGAGTGCTGCATCCCTGTGAAAGACTTTTTACAATTTTTGACTTTTCAGAGTCAGTTAAATCTCTTTTTTGGCCCATTTTTTCAGAGGAGAACATTCTGCCTAATAATTATGCACACCTTGATATAGGGTGTTGATCTCCTTAGGCCACAGCCTCCCTCGTTACACTAAAACACATCACCTCATATGCATCAAGTCCAATAAGCGTTCAAGTTTATACTGCTTGGAGTTGGAAATTATGGATAAAATGATGATATGGTCAAAATACTCACTTGCCTAATAATTGTGCACACAGTGTAGAAGAAGTCAGCAGACAGAATTATTATGTCATCAGATAAAGTGCAGGGTAGATTATACAGTTTCAGTTTATACTGTTCCTGTGTGCTTTGCTTCACCTCTGCTATGTCACCTGTAATTTCCAGTAAAGAAAGAGCTTTGGCAGGACATCTCTGTGGGTGTAGTGAGCATGCGTGCACTTAGTGCTGAAGTGTGTTCTTCCTTTATTTGTGCAGGACCTGCATGAGAGTGAAGGCTGCCAGGATGAGCTGGCTCTCAGAGTTCAGCAGCTGAAGGCAGAGCTGGTTCTCTTCAAAAGCCTCATGAGCAATGTGAGCACACTTACAACCCACACAGTCATATACCAGTCAGACATAATCTATTAGAGTTATCCCTCTGTCCCTCTGCATCTCGGTGGATGGACTGTAGCATAAATAGGAACATAAACAGCAAATGACTTTTATTAACATTTAATTGGTACCACTCTCTAAAAGGGACCTTATACAGTGTTTATAGTTGTAATTATTGGCTTGAATGTGACATGTCAAACAAAAATCTAAGCCAACATACAGTCAGTCATGTATTCAGCATCACTGGAGCATTTAATACTGCTTTATAGATCAATAATAAAGAACATGTTTTTGGTTTCTAGGTTGTGAAACATCTCTCTGGTTGGTTGTTGTTATTTTCTCCTCCATTGTTTATTAATAACTATGACTGTGCACACTGATATTTATAGGTGCAGGCTTGACTCTGACAGACCTTTTATAAAGGGTTTTATATTAGAAAGTGGTAACATATGGTATGTTTATCGCACTCGTGTAGATTTTTTCAATACTTTTCTTCCATCCTCTTTGTAGAACGTGTCAGAATTGGACACTAAGATCCAGGAGAAAGCCAGGAAGGTGGATATGGACATCTGCCGCAGGATTGATATCACTGCTCGTCTGTGTGACGTCGCTCAGCAGAGGAACTGTGAAGACGTGATCCAGATGTACCAGGTACTGTACCAGGGCTCAAACCGACCAGTTAATGTTCTCATCTTCCATTCTTCGGTTTTTATTTTCATATATTATTCAGTTTTCTTGCAGAGTAAGTTTGTCTTTTATAACAATAATGATTCACTTTCAAACCCCGAATATGTCCCAACAGGTTCCTAACCCCCAGTCATCCCTAAACTGTAGACGGAAACAAACCCCTCTGTCGTTTAATGGGAACGAATGCGATGAGCCTGTCAGCACCTCTGAAAGTGATGGAGTTGTGGTCAAAGATGAGGAACAATGTGGTTCATCAGCCAATCAGATCAATGAGGAGATGCAGAGGATGCTGAACCAGCTGTGAGTAGATGGACTTTGAAATGTGATGACTGAAATGGAGGTGACCTTCACTCCTGCACTTCCACTAATCATCCTTCAATGTGTGTATGTGCATTTTTATTTTAGACGTGAATGTGAGTTTGAGGATGACTGTGACAGTTTGGCCTGGGAGGAGACTGAAGAGACTCTGCTTCTTTGGGAGGACTTCCCAGGATGCACTCTGCCCCTGGACCCCACCCATTCAACAGGAGAGGTAGGCTTGTGGCTTTTTAATGATTAGACTTCAGAACTAGACTTACATACAGGGGGTGGACACAAAATAGACAGTTGAATGCAATTCGAAAACACCTTGTAATATGTTTTTTAAAAAGCTATAAATGTTCAAATTTTGCTGAATCAGTGGCTCATGAATGTATCAAACAGATGTGCTGATGTGTTGCATGATGTCATTTTGCACTTGCTGCTTTACTGTATCTAATGAATATACTCACTTCAATGTTATTTGTATAGTGCCAAATCACAACAAAAAAAACACCGATGCACTTTACTTAGCAGGGTCTAAACCTTATAGTATTATAGAGGAAAACCCAATAAATGTCCTTTGAGCAGTGTCCAGCGCTTTTACATTAACATTCATTCAGCAAACGTTTTGTCCAAAGTTACTTGTAGTGTGTCAGTGATTGTCTGATTCATTGCTCACAGCCCAGTCCACTGACCTTCACTGCTCTGCTGGGTCAGGGCCACTTCAGGAAATATACCACACACAAAGACAAATGCAGTGTCTGGCTTGTACTGCTGTACACTGTGTTTGTTTCAGAGAAATGCTTGTACTGTAGGTATTTGGTTTCATTCACTGGCTGTGTGGTATTTGAACAGTTTGTTGACCCTCTGAAAGGAGGAAGTGCATTAGTCGGTGAAATCTGAGCTGATGGAAGCAATAAGACCAGCTGTGCTTTAATGGCATTGTAATTTACTTTGTTTCTGATTGTTAGATGATTAACACACAAACACTGAGACAGCTAAGTCATTTGTTCAAGTTTTTCAGCTGGAGATTAGGTGGAATGGAACCAATTCAGCACTTTTCCACCTTCTTTGGTCTAAAGAGGTTGTGTACATCCAGATACTCTGACTACAAATAGCAAAACAGTCCAAATCTCTTCTCCCCCCCCTTCTCTCTCTCTACCAGGAGGACTGTCTTGAAAAGGTGATTAGTGACACAGAATGCCTGTTTAAGTCCAGAGAGAAGGAATACCAGGAGACGATTGACCAGATTGAGGTCAGACACCTATTGAACAATATTTTTATTGTTGAATATATAGACTCTTTTATATTAAGCAAACCAATGTGAGACACCGTTTGTGACCATTTGGAATAATTCTGACTGTTTCTCGCTCCAGCTGGAACTGGCCACAGCTAAGAGTGACATGAACCGACACCTGCACGAGTACATGGAGATGTGCTCAATGAAGAGAGGCCTGGATGTTCAGATGGAGACCTGCAGGAGGCTCATCACGCAGAGCGGAGACAGGTGACACACACACGTGCACCCACTGGCCTCCAGTCGACATCATCTATCCGACAGGCTTGTTGTGCATTTTTTCCCTTTTGCGATGACTTAGTTTTACAGGCTCTTACAGTTTCCTAGTTACACTTAAATCCCCCCTATAGCATTTATAAGCAGTATACAAATATTTAATTAATTGTTTATAATACACTATAATGTAGTTGTAAGCAAATATATTGGCATTTCAATTGCTTATTAATGCACAATATTTGTCAGCAACTAAAACATTTTATATCATTGTCACAGCAGCTGTGGGTGTTGACAAGCACAGAACATTTATATATGGTTAGATGTGGATTTCCAGAGGAGTTTCATTGAAGCTGCATTTAAACCCAAGAAAGTGTCAGCTTATTTTTGACAGTTTTATCCTTCATCCATGCTGAATTATTTGCCTACTTTTGGATGCATTTTACATTTTTGTATGTTCAGCTGATCTGGTGTGCACAAAATAAATGAATTAGTAACTAATCAAACATCTACCAGTTATAGTTAATCCCAGATTTAATTGTTTTTTTCCAAGAGCCTTCAGAAGACAATTGACAATTTACATGATATAATATTACAGGAAATTATGAGTACATGGAATGTATAGGTTGAGTAAAATGTTCCTTTTCTTTCCCACTACTACAAAACAAAAACAAACCTGTTGCATTTAGGCCTTTTCCATCCTGTTCTGCTGTTTTCTCCTCCCACAATAGCTCTGCGGTATCGGTGTCCTCTGATGAGAGTGACCAGAGAGACAACGACAAGTCTTCAGCATCTTCCAGCGCTGGGAGATCTTGACACCTCCTAACCCTGGCAGTAAGGCAGGCCGTGGTCATGTGACCACCACCGCATCCATCTACAATACCACACCAACACAATACACACTTGGTTCTATGGCACCACCATATTTCCACATCAGTCTTTTCATTTACTGACTCATATTGCTTGTTCATGTGTCATCCAGACAAATTGGCTTTGGTCTGAGGAGACGTTGAGCACTAAAACTTTGACTGAGTAGCAGAGCTGGGTTATTGTCAGTATGTACACATGTCACTGCCCTGCAGTAATAGCAGGACCTTTTCATCTTGTGTTAGACAGCAGTTGTTGGTGAATTGAATCTTCTAATGAAGAATTATCCTGTGAAGATTCAGCAGGTTGAATATTGTAAATTTAATGCGAGCTAATTGTCTGATGTCCCTCTGATGGCGTGAGGCAGCGCTCTAGGCTAGAGAAGAGCATAGCTTGACCAACAAGCACTTGTTAACCTGGCATCTTACAATAATCTAGCACATTTTCATAACTGTGTCATGGCTCTGACAACTTTAGAGCTACATCTACACAATGTAGTCTTATAATTTACAATCTGTCAGCAAACCAACAACAAAGAGCAGCAGATACAGTTGAAGCCAGAGGTTTACAGGCACTTAGGTTGAAGTCATTAAACCTTTTTTTAACCACTCCACAGATGTCATGTTAAACTCTCATTTTGGTAATTCAGTCAGGAAGTATTTTATGCATGACACACAAGTAATTTTTCCAACAGTGGTTTACAGACAGATTATTTCACTGATCGTTCACTATATCACAGTTCCAGGGGGTCAGAAGTTTACATACACTCAGTCGACTGGGCCTTTAAACAGCTTGGAAAATTCTAGAAAATGATGTCATGGCTTTAGAAGCTTCTGATTGGTTAATTGACATCATTTGAGTCAATAGGAGGTGCAGCTGTGGATGTATTGTAAGGCCTACCTTCAGACTCAGTACCTCTTTGTTTGACTTCATGGGAAAATCAAAAGAAATCAGCCAAGACATCAGAAACAAACTGTACCCCCACAAGTCTGGTTTATCCTTGGGAGCAATTTCCAAACGCCTGAAGGTACCACCTTCATCAGTACTAACAATACTACACAAGTATAAACACCATGGGTCAACGCAGCCATCGTACCGCTCAGGAAGGAGGCGCGTTCTGTCTCCTAGAGATGAACGTACTTTGGTCTGAACATTACAAGTCAGTCCCAGAGCAACAGCAAAGGACCTTGTGACGACACTGGAGGAAACAGGTACCAAAGTATCTGCATCCACAGTAAAACGAGTCCTATATCAACATAACCTGAAAGGCTGCTCAGCAAGGAAGAAGCCACTGCTCCAAGACCGCCATAAAAAGGCCAGTGACGGTTTGCAGCTGCACATGGAGACAAAGATCTGACTTTCTGGAGAAACGTCCTCTGGTCTGGTGAAAGAAACATTGAACTGTTTGGCCATAATGACCATCGTTATGTCTGGAGGAAGAAGGGGGAGGCTTGTAAACTGAAGAACATCATCCCAACCGTGAAGCATGAGGGTGGCAGCATCATGTTGTGGGGGTGCTTTGCTGCAGGAGGGACTGGGGCATTTCACTAAATAGAATGAATGAATGAATGAATGATAATGTGGATATATTGAACACAACATCTCAAGACATCAGCCTGGAAGTGAGAGCTTGGCCACAAATGGACAGTGACCCCAAGCAGACGTCCAGAGTTGTGGCAAAATGACTTAAGGACAAAGTCAAGGTATTGGAGTGGTCGTCACAAAGCCCTGACCTCAGTCCAATAGGAAATCTGAAAAAGCATGTGCGAGCAAAGAGGCCTCCAAACCTGACTCAGTTCCACCAGTTCTGACAGGAGGAATGGGCTGAAACTCCAGCAACTTATTGTAAGAAGCCTCCTGGAAGACATCCCAAAACATTTGAACCAAGTTAAACAATTTAAAGGCAACGCTACCAAATACTGACCGAGTGTATGTAAACTTCTGACCCACTGGGAAAGTGATGACAGAAATAAAAACTCAAATAAATCTTTTTATCTACTGTTACTTTGACTTTTCACATTCTTAAAATAAAGTAGTGATCATAACTGACCTCAGACAGAATCTTTATAGGATTAAATGTCAGGAGCTGTGAAAAGTTTAAATCTATTTGGCTAAGGTGTCTGTAAACTTCTGACTTCAACTGTAAATCAAAAAGCATATGGATGAGTGAGAAAGCTGAGTTTGGTATTTATAATGATGAGCTTGAATCTTATATCAATCTGATAAGATGTCATGATTCAGCATTTTACTGCCATACAGCTGCGGATTCAGAGTTGCCTTGTATCTGTGTAGCAACAGACTAAACCAAGGCAAAATGATTCGGTCTGCTCTCTGTGTCACTGACACACAGGCAAAAAATATGATAAATTGCTGTTAATAATGAGTTTTATTTTTAGCAGTAATGCTTAGAGTGAAGGCCATATACTGTTTGAGCAGAGCTGCATGGTTGAGCAGAATCACTCTAGTGAAAGAAGTTAGCCGTTAGGTGCCAAAATAAAACGTGATAACAGGAAACTGCTGGAAAAAAAAGTAACAAAGCTGCAGAAGCTATTTCACCGAGGTGCTTGATGTATATAAATAAACCTATTTTTGAGCCTGTAAACATTTGCACATAGAAAGGAAGAGCAAAGCAAAAATATACCATAAGAAACAATCTGCACTATTACTTGTAAAATGTATCAAAGAATGTTGACACAAACAAAACAACTAATTCTTCTATTCACATGTTGTAGGTGGGGTAATAGAATACTGAATTAACATTACCTCATTTTTACTTTATGTTTTTTAGGGGCACATTCAACCATGGACTCTGACACTCTACAGTAAAATGTACACTGATCAGCCATAACATCATGACCATTTAATGCTCTGATCACAGTGCATCTTGTGTGAATCTGTTTGCTAACATAGTTGGACTGTATAAAAGAGCATGAATTTGTCCTCCATTTTGTGATTAAAAATATGTTAAAAGAGTGAAAACTGGACGTGAGGACAAGTTAGAGATTTTTTTTAAATTTTTTTAAGACCCGATTCTAGGTGTGATATCACCACTATAACTGCTAAGTGTTTCTCTTGATAGAGACCAACGTACAGTATTTCGCCTTTTTAACCATTTTAACAAAGATTCAAACAAAAGGAATTTTTTGAAAAGAATGAATCATAGGTGTAGTGCTCCTAGGACACACCAGAACGATGCTCTACCACAAGAGAGGAGAAAGAATCATCCTATTGGCATAATCAGATTGAAATTCATAATGTTGCATTGGCAGTGAGGGAGATGCTCTGACTCAGTCGTCAGCCATCACAGTTTGGCCTTTATCAAAGTCACTCAGATCGTTACTTTACCTGTCAGTGGTCATAATGTTATGGCTGATCTGTGTATGTTAGGATACTGCTGGTAATGGTCACTATTAGAAAAAAAACCTCCTTCTGGCTGTAGATTCTTATATGTGCTTGAACCAGTTTGTTAGAGTAATAAAAACAGGAGGAGGACATTTGAAGCTTATGCACTTGTGATTGTGTGGCTGTTGGAATCAGCTGAATGCTGATCTGAATGTTTCACATCTTTATGAAAACAGGATGAGGATGTCAGAGTTAAATTGTGTGAGACAAAACATACCGTTTCCCTTTTGTATAGTTTTACTTTCATGCTCTGAGTGAGTCTGTGTATGCATGTGCCGGCGCGTATGTTTTTGGGTGATATGTCTGTATTATGAGTGTTCTAATAAAGATTCACTATGGCAAATATATAACATGAAGAAGAAGGAAACTTCAGTTCAATTTGACACGGTCTCTATATTTAGCAGTTTCATTGTGGTAGACTGAGACTGAGATGTCTGTTGACAGTCATCGCTTCAAAAAATCTATAATTCAAATAATTTTTTCCACTGGTACTCTATCTCTATGATTGTATGTGGTTGCCAAGTAAAATCAATTTAAAAATAACTCATGTAAAAAAAAAGAACTACTGAAATGCAAATGCTTTAGCAAAATGACTATATGATGGCCTTGATATTATATGTGTAATGGAAATATAGCTTTGAAGATATACTTGTGTTTAAACACTGCGAAAGAAGAATGGCCACAGGCACACCTGAAAAGAAACTCATCGAACCACTTGATTGTTCTGTTTAGCTTTTCAATGAAAGTTTTGGCAGTTAAGTTTTACTAAACACTTCTTCTGTGCCTTTACAGAAGAGATGACCTTGTCTCAGAAATATTTGATTAACAGTCCTGAGTGTTGATCTAGTGCTACAGGTGTGTGACTTTTCTGCTTTAAATATCAAAACAAAGTAGTTTTGGCTAACGAGCTTCACTGCAAAGCTACAGTATGTAATGTGTCAACAGACTGAACGAATAAAAGATGCAACTGAGCAACAAGATTATATGTTTCCATGCAGCCTTCTCTGTCTGCCTTAAAGGGTCAGTTCACCCACAGCACTGGAACACCACATTTAAACAAACCAGCAGCAGCATCTCTTTCTTCACAGCACTTAAGGAGAACAGAAAGCTCAGTGGATTATTAAGAACAGCTGTGATGCTCTTCAGAGCAAAATGTTGCTGGTAGTTTGTTTTTTGTTTTTTTTTATGTGAGCAACACAAAAGAAACTCTCCATTGTGCTGGGTTTGCCATGGAACATCTCACATTGGGATGACTTAATACTTTGACAAATAAAGCTAAACATATCTGCAGAGGTGAAGAGGTTTCAGGCCGAGGCTTTGAGAGTTGTGCTTGTGTGTTTTGCTGCTACTGCACTGCAAGCAAGCCAAGTTTATTTATATAGCACCTTTCTAAACCTGCGTTACAAGGTGCTTTCCAGTAAAACATAAACAACTAATAATAATAATAAAGATACCTAAGACCAGATAAAACACATCTATACAGTAAAATAACAAGAAAAATACATAGTCAAAACAAATACATCAATCAATAAAATTGTCGAAGGCCCGTGAATACAAATGCGTTTTAAGAAGTGATTTAAAAACAGACAGGCTTCGGAGCAGATCTAATCTCCC